CCAAGTTTTATCTACATATTATACGAAAAAAAGACTAAATAATGACAAGAATCGTATATCAACTTAAATCACACTTTGGACTGCACAAAAAAAAAAAGTTGCTAAAGCAGTGAACTGATTTGGTGAATTCATCCTACAGACTATGCCATGTCGAATTTCAGGAGATTTTTACGTTGCAACACGATATTCATTTATCTCAATGACTATTCCTGTAAAGTTTGTCTAGAATTATAAGAATTTTATGGACTCCCAAAGTTAATTCAATTTTACAGCCCTGTTGTCAGTTTTATTGTTTAGCTGAAGAGCGGGGCGAACTCAGGTACAGAAAAGATCGGCTTTCCCCTGACAGGCTCTTTACCTGTACAATAGAATTGACGCCTGAGCTGTGAAACAAATTAACGTTGGGAGTCCATAAAATTCTTATAATTCTGGACAAACTTTACACTCCTAAGCAAAGGACACAACTCAACAATATGTGACAAGTTTAAATAATTGCCTGTTACGGCAAAATTTAAACAAAACGGCAAACAACACCGTTTCATTTAAAACAGAAGAAAAAGTTTAATCGGCCAACGAACCACTGAAACTTAACTATATGCAACGATTTATCAAACGCTATATTCGCTGAGCACGCTTTAAAGTTTATAACCAATAGCAGCTATAACAGTATGGCAGGTTAATTAATTATATACAGTACACCAATAAAACAATCACGTATATGCCATCTGATATATTAAAATGAAGAGAAAACATTTGGTGTAGTTGCACATTATATGTACATTGTATTACTTTTTTTATTGCGACGTACGTCATTCACAATAACTGTTGTTACACACACGTCACAAATATGATTTCCAAAGCAGATGTTTATTCAAAAAGTTTCGTAAAAAATATTAAATGTTAAAGATCCATATCAAATTTCACTCCAATTAAATAGGGCGTCTCTGAGTTGTCGACGAAAGGAACTAGTTTCGAACGTTTACACATTTCGAAGGTGCTATCTTTTTTAAAATGGATTAACGTCTACGTAGAGCCATCACTTATGAACAAGGTTATATACAAGATATTCCTGCGATGTATCGGATGTCATTTTTTCTTTAATTTCTATTTAATAAAAATTTCTTATTTATTTCTACAGTACTTTGTTTGAAAAAAAATTGATCTAAAGTTAAAAAATTGGTTGTTGAAAAGTTATAAAACTTGCATGTTGCAAATTCTACTTTTTTTTGGTGATCCCTACATATAAATTGTGATTAACGATTTACCATGTTTATGATAACTTTAAAATGTTTGGAAAATTTCAGAGCATTTGGTTCCGTGGTTTCAAAGTTAAATTGTAAAATGTAATTATACAATTATAATTTCTTTTCCATAAATGTAGATGTCCAAGGTAAAAAATCATGACGGATTCATAAACCACAAATATAGTAATATTTTCCAAAATTTAAATAACATTTACGATGCACAATTTTGAGGTGATGTCTATCTAATAAAAATAGATACAGACGGCGCCACTCAGACAGATGGACACGAGAGATCTATGTTTTCGTACTCTAGGGACAATGAAACGTCGGATAAACATGAAAATAGTCATTCGCTGGATGAACCCCATTACAATACTTCATTAACTTCCGTTTGGGAAGTAAAAATATGACATGCAAAATATCGCAGTTAAATAAATGGCTTATAATTGTTGACGACTGGTGTTGCCACCGCTGTTGACTGCGTGTAAGATAAAGCTGCCATTCTAGGTGTTTCACAAGTGCGTCAACAAAAAAAAATAGAGTAAATAATAATAATAATAATAATAATAACTAATTAAAAATAATCTATCTAATCAACTCATCAAATTCCTCAATAAAACTCTTAACTTATCCCCTAGGCTGCAAGATCAAGACACTATTTCTTTCAAAATATCTCCAAGCGTTGGAGCTTTCATGAAAAACATTATTATTAACTAATACGCCTTCGAGGCATATGGACATTTACAACACCTATATCGCCTGTCTTTGGTACCGGAAATTACCATCAATTTTCCAGTCTACAGGTGTATTCAGATTCAGGAAGGGTTGATGAACTCATTATTTCCCTATTTAAATTGGCCTCTAGACAACCGCATGGTCAAAGTCTTGGTCAGAATGCAATCCTCAAAAAATAGACCTTATTAACAAGTAAAATGCATTAATATGTACACAATCCTCGCGGGCAAACGTGATTATATATAATGTTTAAATTACACAAAATTACACACAGCCATTATAAACGATTGTACCTCAAAAATTGAGTCGGCATGGATCCGCCTCTTACGAAATGATTAATAATTTCGATGCGGTGACAGCATCACCATGGAAGTTTTTTACAATACCTCGGAAGAACATCTGTGACGGTTTGATAAAATGTGACCTGGCATTATTGATTTAAATAAGATGTTTTGATGTGGTTATACATAAGAAGTATAAGAACTGGAGCATATCAAACAAGCGTTTGTGATTAATTGTTTTATTTCAAGACAATAGAAATATGTAACACAGTTTTAATTAAATTAACTATGACACTGGAATAAATTTAACTTATCTCATTCCAGTTAGGCCATGGGTACATTGACACATTACCGGAGTTGATTTTACATTAATGTAACATTTTCTAACACAAGTAAAAATCTATTACACTAATTTAAAGAATTTTAGCAAAAATTTCGTAATTTCACGGAACCCATACTTGCTCCTCGTTGTGAACGAACTTTGCCGTCGGAAGTAAAAACACTTTTGCCTCACTTCTAAATACTGTAAGCACACTATTTTTTTATACTAACTGAATTTTATAAGCTGAAAACTAAAGAAGCGAATCTCCAGTAGCTTGGCCATTGACAACTGTCGAATAGAAACTTGTACGTTTGTTGTGTTTGTATGTGGGTGAGTTTCAACATCATGAAATTATTTTAACTCAGAATTTAGGCGAGTGGGTCTCTCACGAACAATTTTCCTTAACACCATCCCGAAATTTACACTGATTTCAAAACAGCACGCGTCGTCTGTGAAGGATCGACGAAGATCCCTACCGGGAAGGTTGTTCGACCACTGTTGACCTAAATGCACCCACCAGAGCCATAAAATTTTATTAGTACACAAAATTAATGCCTTTACAGAAACCATTAATATTTTTTGGAATCATGTGCAACACATTACAAACAGATAAATAAAATATTTTCGAACAAGTTACGATTCAGTATCTTTATTTTACAATGACTTTTTGTATAAGGCAGAAAATTTGGCAGAATGTTCTGTGACGGTTAATTTATGAAATGTCCACATGGTCGGCGTTCTTTTTGGTGTTGACCAGAAATTGAATTTTCTCGTTTTACAGTATCCATAAAGACCCGTAAACTTCTAGCTTTCACACGCCAAGAACACTGATAGTAATTAAGATAATATTCGCTTCTCAAAAACACCTTGCCGAGCGGAGTTTGAGAAAGTTTAGTTTAAGTTATTTATTAACGCTAAAGAGTTATTTTTTTTAATAAGTAAATCACTATTAACAATAAATTTGTTTTTATGAACATTTTTCAAAATATTTAGCAGACCTTTCTTAAAAAAAAAAAACTTCTCTTAGTTACACTGCTCTCTAGACATAAAAATTGTAAATTAATTCTAGCATTAAAGTAAACTTTTAATGTTGAACTACAATTTTTTAGATCACAAAGTGTTGACAATTCAACCTGAACACAAGTTAAAAAGCCTTTTTTGTGTTTTGACTAAATTTAAATTATTTTTCATCTAACAGGACAAAATATGAAGTAATCCTTTCTTATTTCGACTGATCTCAATTATGAAGTTGGAACTTAATGGCACTAATTATTTTTACTTTACTATAGCTTACGCTCCGGAAGTGGAGGAATGCCCACTTTTATGTTTTATCGACGCTTCATGGCCCCTACAGTACGAAAATAGTAATCTCCCGTTTCCGTCTGTCTGTCGGTCTATCTGTCTGTCTGGCGTCTGTATTCATTTTTATTAGACAAGTAATTTCCGAAACAAGTGGATCTTGCAATTTGCGCCCCCACGGCGCACGGGCGGCGGGAGTGTCATTTATGCCGCTAGTTTTTACTTTATAGAGGTTATCACAAAACAAACATCGCAAAATTTGATGTTATCATTTTTCAAAGAATCGCGATTTGTTGGACTTGTTTGTACTTCTGGGTCGAGGGAAGTTCTGTCCAAAGAAACTTCGACGAATTTTTAAACCGCGTAATGATAGTACTAATATGGAAAGAAGAGTTAATTTAAATCAAAACTACAAGTAAAACGACAATATCATTAGAAAAAACCTTATGGGACACCGATATATCATAATCTGTTTCCACGTTATAGGTAGACAAAAATGTACGATGTCATTTTTTTCAACTTTAACCGGAATACGGAGTCGATCGATACCTCAACGAACTTCTCTTATCTACGGCTCTATTTCGGCGATAAATCATGATTTCCAGCACCGGAGGATGCACATCAGACGCGGTAGACGCGGACCAGCTCGCGATCGATAGCACCGCCGACCGGCCGCCTCACACCCGTCTCTTTGTGCATCTCCTAGGAAGGTTGTTCGCCCCGTAACGCTAAAAACGATTACCTTTGTATCAGACGTTCAAATGATGTTTGCTACAAACACCCTTATCTTTACCGACGACGCTCGCTTTACCGACAAGTGCTGTTCACTGACTCTTAGCTAAATTGCATCCTGCAGCAGGTACGAGTAGATGACTACGTCAATAAAATTAAGTCAAACTTTGAAATCCCCTACGCAAAGTTAGTGGTAGTGTCGTCATAACCACTGACTTTGGAGTGGATGATGCGATTCTCGTAAGACAATAGAATCGAAATTGCCAAATTCGGTGCGGTATAACTTTAATCCACGCAAACTTGTTGCTTTTGAACGGTCCCTACGACTTATTGCACAGTTCTAGGGGTAGAATGCCACAATGAATTTCATCGAAGCACGCCACTTACCTTTGGATCAAAGTTGAAGGTGTTATCATACTTAAAATGGCATTCCAATCCACACTTGCATGTGCCCGTGGTGAGAAGATACTCTTTGACTTGTTCCGGAGAACTTAAAGCTGTATTACTTGGGCTGTAAGAGAGAAAACACATTTTAATGCAACAATCGACACTAAAAATAGAACGTTTAAAAAGTACAAGTTCGAAACATCTGATCTCAATCTTGATGTTCAAACAGCTTTAACGTGTTAATGTCAAGTTAATGGAGGCAATGAACACATTTATGGTTTCCCATTTAACAAAGTATAGAATCAAAGACAACACCTTCGCATCTCGGTTAATGAACCAAATAGCTTCTAGGTACGGTTGGTTGAAGTGATAAAGATCGAAACTCGCTTCTAGAAATTATACGAACAGCACACAGTAAGTTCAATGATTTAATACCTCACTATTCAGAATTCACTAACACCTATTAGATAACATCTTGTGTCCTCAGTGGAGTTAATTAGAAACCAGATCATGAAGACGATATAAAATTCAGATAAAATCAACAAAATGTTTTTCAAAGACATTTTTAATAAACTCGTAGTCGCGTAGCTGATTAGATTTACTGATTTGTCTCGTACTGTCGTACCACATAAAAAAATCCCACAATTTTTCCTTTTATATCGCCCTCTCTTTATTCGGATGATCATAAAAACTGATGAAGTCAATCTGTCATATAATCCACTGTCGGTGGAGTCTTTGTCCGCAAAATAGCTTCTTTGTGCGGATCGGTTGCCAGTCTTTATTGTCGACGAGTCGACTTCGGCGATTACGGAATCTGCAGCGATTCCAATAATGTTGAAATGTTAGTTAGATGAACGTTCTACAGATTGCGCTGCATGCCACTTTTGCAATGTGAATGTTCTTCGACGCTTTTAGATCACAGATATTTTTTTTACGATTGTCGGAGTACTTTTTATGCTTATTTAAAAAGTGCCTTACCCTAACAACAATTACAAAAAATATATAGTCCACTATTTTTTGGTACTCGCATTAGAAAATACAAGCCAATACAAATGAAAACAAAAGAGATAGGTATTCCCAAAATTACAAGTTCGACCCCAGATTATTTATTGCAACGATAAAAATAAAACTTTCATAAAAACTAAATGTTAGCAATAACAGTAGCATAAAAGTGGACGACACCAATTAATCTGTACGCATTATTAAGAAAACTGTTTATAGGGGAAATTGTTTGTGAAAATTTTAACCACAAACAAATCACTTTCTATATTATGAACAACATCTTCAACAACTGTAGAACTTACATTAGGTAACATCCTCGATTTCAACTTTACCTACCAAGAGAAAATATCTTAACGAGTTACCAATATGTTTAGCCAACCCAAAACAAAATCTTGGAATCACATTACATCAACCAACAAGGATATAAGGATCGGAAAATACCGACAATTTTTCTATCCAACGATTTGAATAATTAATTAACTGCAAAATCATAGTTGTAACTTATAACTTTTTTTTTATTTTATCCTCTGTATTAGAGAAGGTTAACCTTTCAAGGTTATGAAAAAAGTATTGTACATATACAAGCACGTTATCATAAAAATGATTACATAATATCTTCAAATATTTTCAATTGCCACATGATTATTAGAATAATAAAAGAAGAATAATAAGAGTTGTTGAATAAAATGATCAGACCGACAAAAAATACAAAAAAGCAGTGTGTGTACAAGACACCTCATAATGCCCTCTTGTAGTGAAAGTGATCCATTGTAGAGCAAGTTAAGCGAAATACTTGTTCCGAAGCGAAACAATAGAATAAAAGGTACAACTTGCCAAGACCAATGTTACGAACGAAGGGCCATACAATTCGGAGCAGATGTGCAGATGTTCGTGGCTGAGATTTGTGTACAAACAATTGAACAAGAACCTGAAGGAAGAACACCTATATGTATACAAGAGTGACTTTATTGCGTGCTATTTTATTGCTGCATACAAAGCAAATTTTAAACCTCTTCTGAAAATTCAACGCCAAGCGAGATAGTCTCTTCCCATCAGAAAAACTGTGCATTTTCGAGCAGCAATTCCATATGTGTAAACAATTCGATATATCTGTCTAACAGACTTCTCTTCGCTGTTTATATAACTTCATATAACGAGCTGGTTAAATGCATGTTCACACAGCAGCACCGAGTCCTATGCAAATCTGAATTAGTGGGCGAGATTATGTTTACCGAAGGACTGTGAACGTTGGGGATTCGCACAAAACCTACTCGAAGCAGATCTAATTTAATGAAACAAATGATCATCAAACCCTTGAAGGCCTGACTAAATCCGGGCCTTTCTATAATCGTTTGCGAATTAATAAGCTGCAGTAGACAGTCTTGTTGGGCGTCATCAAAACAAGACTCGGAGGCTCTTACAGATTGCAGTGTTTATGAATATGCATGGACACATTGTGCAGCTTCTTATTCAAACATACCTACCCTTCGTCGTGTTTGCTCACCACTACAATACGTATTCACTTTTCTTGCGACTCTTCCTCGGTCATTAGCGATTTGCTTAACACCTCATTGAACACAATAAATTTCGCACGAGGCTCCAACGAAGCGAGCAGCCAAACACGATTTTAAGCAAATAACTTCGTTTGGAAGGTTTTTACAGCACCGTGTCAATAACCAGGGAAAAAAACAAGCAATCATGTATGATTGCCACGGGAAAAATTTTAGAATCATTTAAATATTTGAGTCATGTGCTCAAAGTTAAACAATGAAAATATGACGCACTAATGCAACAATAGCTCTTACCTAGTTATGTTTATGTAAATCATAATATTTATATTGTTTTATGATCAGTAAACTTTTAAAACATGTTTGCTTGAGAAGTTCCTAAAGCTCTGCAAGTAGGTCTCGTGATGGGCGATCTGGAACGAGGTGAAACGACGCATAAATAGATACAAAAAATATTTATTTACTACTTATTGTCCAAACGTGGTGAATTAATGTTCTTGAATTTGGCAGCATCTGAAAATATTTAAATTATGGCCTTCAAGTCAGAGCTCTTGGCAGCATTACTACCGTGTCAATGGTGTAGTAACCATGTAGCCTTACAACTATCAGATAAATTAACGATGTTATTATGATGAAATACAGGTGTTTCTTACACAACCTTGTGACATTTTTACTATAAATAACCCAAGAGTTATGGTTAATCAATAGATTCTTTTTATACATTCTGAGAGTGAATTTTGTATATAATTTTAGTTATGTATAGTTTTCTACCATTATCACATGTTCATAGCTAGCTATCAAAGCAAACAGTAAACACTATACAACTCTCTACAAGGTTGACGATGAGTTTGTTCATTTTCTTTTTTTGCGTTGTATTGTGTTTCTTATACATAGAAACTCAATTAATGGAATATTCCTTATAATCAAGAATTTTATTAACCAGGTGTCATTGTTGCTCCACTACCAATGAAGATGCGGTGGTGGGCGAGGGGTGATATAATTTCATATAACTAATAGAAGCTCACACAATATTTTAGTACAGGACTAAATCCAAAGGGCAATTCCTCCATATTATTTACGAAATTTACATGAATCCATGTATCCGTCATTGCGCAATTTTTTATTTACCAATGACATTTCACAATTAGAAGAGTAGATAGATATACTCTCATCGCTTGTAGCCCACACACAAAAAATCATCATTATATAATTTTTTAAGGAAAAACAGCATAATAAAAAAGAACGACAATTTATTTTATTTTTATCAGAATAGATTCCGAAACATGATTTTTTTTTTTATTTTAACACACACATTATAATAATGTAACAAAACAATTGGTCAAAAGTTGTTTAGATGCAATTTCTCTCGCCCCTGAAATACAGTGCAACCAACACATAGCTTTTTCGAAAAATGATAAAATTTGATTTTGCGAATTTTATATTTTTTTGATAACCCCTATTAAGTTAAAATAACGATATGTATTAAGTGTAGGTAAAGATATAAGAGCATGATATGCGTATGTTTCAACTGACTTTTTCCATTACAAAATTTTGTGATGTGTCATCAACATTTTACAAAGACATGTTGATTTGGGTAAGTGTAAGTACTGTATTCCCAAAGTGTCTGGAAAGGGGGTGAACGGTTCTTGATTTGATCAACAGAACAATTCAAAATGCCGGGGATCGAACTCGAGGCTTTCACATGCAAAACAAGCGCTCTACCATCAGTTTTACTATTAGAAAGGCTAAACATAAAAATAATAAAAACAATTAACAAAGTCAAGGCAAATTCATAAACCACAAGTAGGTATGTTATTTTATACAATTTAAATAGGAACTGCACAATTTTGAGGTGACGTCATCATATTATTAGTGGGGATGGTCAGACAAATTTTAGTTAGCGCTTTACCATCTATATGATATTCTTAACATAGATATAAAATTTCGCAAGAATCAGTTCAGCAGTTTCCGAGATCATCTATCTAATAAAATATAAACACAGATACACACAGGACAGGAAAAAAACGAAACGGAGTACCTACTTCTTCATACTCTGGGGGTCATGAAACATATTACAATACATTACAACTACAAACGTATTACAATACTTCTTTGGCTTACGTTTGAGAAGTAAAAGGGTGCATATTATAAAAGAACTGCAGTGTGATCTCTCCCTAAAATTTTTGCTCTATTTTGTACAAGTTTCCAAAAGTGGTTCACTGGAAAATCAATACCAGTTTTGGTGCTTTTTTCAAACAAATAACAAACTTATCGACCGAATTTTTTTACTTTAAAAATCATAGAAAAGTTATCACTATCCTTTACACTACGAACATGTTTTTTTTTAATGACATTATTTAATTATAAATTTAATTTTCTGAAGATTTACTTTATAATACTCATCAATACACATAATTTTCTATTCCAAGTCACGAACATTATCTATCAACGATTGTTGGCAAGGGTGCCTACACTGTAAAAAAATGTAATTTTACATTACTTTTTAAAAATATCTTTAAAAATAAAATTACCCCATAAATTTTTTTACAGTGTAGATAACTGAAAACGAAATTAATCCATAATAATTTGTAAAAATAACGACTACATACTTCAC